CTGCAGGAAGGAACAGAGTTTCGAGTAGCTGCAAATATGCGAGCGTGATTTCATTGACGAGGATGCCTCCCTCCGAAGTTGCCGTCCAATGCCGAAAATGCTTCCACAAATCTTGAGCACTGTCAACGATCCATGGTACATGGTGATCTAGGGAACTAGGCGTCGCCGACGCTCTGCCCTGGGGCGGAGCAACACATGCCAAGGTGGTGAGAAGACAAAAGCCGGCATGGATAGCTCCGAGTCGCGAAGTAACTGCTCGCTGCAGATCATGGGGCAAAGCAATGACTTGTTGGCTGTCTGGCCAAAAGTCGCTGATGCTACTTGACGATGGTAGGAGTAGGTTGAAAGACAGTACAGCTGCCGAAGCTGGATCATCCATGGACCGCAGCTCTGTCAAAATAGCTAGATAGACGTGAGTACTTGCATAATGAAATTCAGGGTACCACTTACTTTGCGCACATGATCTGTAAAGCTGTAAGACTGCTGCAGCGGGACGCCAGAGGGCAGATGTTCGTGCGAGCGCGCTTAGGCAGAGATGCAGTATTTGGTGTACATGTTCGTGCACATAGGTGAGTGCTTCATGTGCTAACAGGCCCAATAACTTAGGAACCAACCAGAGAATAAGCGGAGGACGAGAAATGCTGTCATCTTCGGTCTCCCTAACGCTCAGCAACAGATGAGGCTTTTGTTGCAAGATGAAAGTGAGCGCGGCAATACTGTCAATACCCTGCTGTCTTTGCTGGTCCTGGGCGAACGGATCATCTTTGAACAACCCTTCAAGTCCTGCTTCGGCGATGACACTTATGAGCGCTACGAGCTGTGCATCGGGCTCGTCCGTGTTTGGGTGTTGGAGAAACTCTTTGACCAGCTCACCAAAGCTGACTTTGGTTGCCTCGCCCTGCCACGCATGAACGTTTGACGCATTATTGACGATTTGGGCTGCAATGGTCGACGGTGGGGGCACGCCATTCGAGTTGCCGTTAGTCACAGGTGGCGGTGCCATCCGCTGAGTCGAGCTCCCGCCTTTGCGGGCCATGATGCACGTTACCGATGTGGCATGTCGGATAGGTGAGGAAAGAGTGGAATCGTGGCAACTGGCTGCTGGCTGCTGGCGATGATGCTAGGCCTTTAGACTCAAGGGAGCGTTCGTAGCAGTCTTGACTGATTCAAGATGGTAATGACGATGGATTCGCCTGATTGGACGCTGGTGGGGTTCCTGTCTGCAATTTCCGGCGTGGCGCTCGTGGGCCTTCAAAGAGTGTCGTCTCGCGTTATTGATATGTGGCTCCGTCTGCAATCGCGCAGTTTGCGATGTGATCGGTGGTTTGACAAGTGTGTGGGGTTTGCTCAGAAGATGCATGGGTTTACGTGGACGCGAAATCACGTAGTCACGGGACCGCGCTAAGCCCGATCTCGGGAAAGAGCGCTAGGTACTCCGCAATTCGATATGGAAGCATCGAACCATCCTCATCCAAGACATTGCGCCCGCAACCTCGAACGGTATATACATCAAGCACGCATATCAACACCCACATTGCATAATTCTGGGTCGAGCACGCCCTAGACCGCAGCCATGCCTGGCCCCTTCACCTCCAAATCCTTCAGCGCCACACTGCCCAACTCGCTCGCGGCGAAGTACCGAAAGTCGCTCCAAAAGCACCCCTTCCTACTCTTCGGCCTACCGTTCCTGTCTACGATACTTCTCGGGTCGTTCATGTTGACTCCCGCCACGGCGCTGCGATACGAGCGATACGATCGCAAGAACCAGCAAATCACACATGAACAGGCCATGGGCTTAAGAGGGGAGCGGAGGAAAGTGAACATGAAGGACGAGTACTACGTAAGTATGCTGGGCAACAAGGCAACCGGAAGGATCTAGACTGACAGTTGCGCAGAGATTGCAAGCCAAAGACATCGACGACTGGGAGCAGAGGCGTGTCAAGCGCCTACCGGGCGAGCCAGACGGCACACTCGTATAAATGTGTTATGTACATACACGTGTATAATAGCATCGGGCATGGCGTTACGGAAGGCGACTAGCAAAACAAATTCGATATCTCTGCACGAACAAAAGCCCTCCATTCTCTCCGATGAACGAACACCTCGTACGAAAGCGAATAACTGGAATAGCTTACTCGAAGACACAAAAGCTGCGCTAATGTCATGGAAATACATACTGGGGAGCTTCTGGATATGACGACGTAGTCATCTCATTGCTGCATCCTCTCCTCGGCCCATGGTGATCTGGCGGAAGGAAGCTGTGACCGACGCAACACTGGTTTGATGGCCCCACGAAGGTTGAGCCGATAAGTTGTAAGCCTGGGCTAATTGCATCTCCTGCTCCTGACTTGTCTGTGATCCATCCAGTCTCAGCCACATTCCGTTATGATACTTGCAAATCCGGTCCCGCGTATCGTAGTAATAATATTGCCCGCGACTGGCGTCCCACGTCCAAACCGTATCGTTCGTCGCTTGAACAATCTGATCCAATGAAGGTCTGATTCGGCTGAGGTCGGACTCCATGTCATCGAGCAGCTTAGTGGTCACAGATCGTGTTGGTTTCCAATCGCCGCTGGTGCCATCTTTAGCCGGATTGACAAGCTTGTCCATGAGATTATCGGTTCGGTAGATGTATCCAAGTGCTTCCCCGGCGATAACGGTCCCCGCACCGATTATCAGGTACGAGTTGTTGGCCTTCAATCTCATTTCTATCTCGGCTCTACGCCTCTCGTGCTCGTCACCTATCAATATTAGGTCGAATCCATGTCACTGCTTTGATGACTTGTAGTCTTACCTGCCGCATCTGTCTTCCAGGTACCAGGATACATCAACTTTGAGGCTAAGAAGATGGTTCGAAGGTGACGGACTGCGTAAGTGATGCCAATACCAACATTCTGTTGTTGATCTGCGTCCATTCTTCTTGGTCAGCAGAAGCGCAAGCTATGTTGATTGGCAGACTTGGACGACCAGGCCAGGATAACCCCTTGGATATCTGCCGGGTGAAGGCGATATATGAGTTGTGTCGCAAAGATTCGGGGCAACGATGTATGCGCCGTACCTCCATTGACATACGCTGTTTCTTCTTGCCTCAGCCTTGCACCTCACGCCCTGAAGCGCCCGACTTGGGCAGCAACAGCATAGTCCCGCGAGGGACCTCGCAGCATCTTCAACGTACCGCGGAACTAACAATGTGTTGACGAGCCAGTTATGGACCGCCAACGCAACGCTTACTTCCGCCTCGCGTCTCAGGCTGAGAAACATACGCTCTCGCGTTCAAACCTTTGTACAAGCATTACGTGGGGAGCGCATACGGGGAATTCGTATCGAAGCAAGCAGTGGCGCCGCGAGAGGGCTTCGACAGACATAATCCTCGACCATCTCAAGCCGGAAGGCAGATCGAGAGTGCTCAAGGGTGGGTTTGTAAGATGGATATGGACTGTTCCAGAGACAAGGCTGAGGTTATGATAAAGATGAAGTGGTCTCGGGTACTGCCTACACCGATTCGCTAGTCACCCCAGTGGCTTGCGTTATCGCCAAAACGAACTCATTCGAGACGCACATTCCATCAGCTGAACGATTTCAAGGTCGCACCGCATGTCGATTCTCCCAGTTCGCAGCACGACGCTGCCGCAAATAGTCACCTAACCGCCGGCCTTGGTCTGTTGGGAGGCCTTTACGCGTTCTCATCACCATGAGGAACTAACTGATTACGCACCCATGATTTCGCACCGTCGTGTGTTAGAGTCACTGAGAGAAGCTCGACTCGTCTTATTTAAGTTAAAATACTTGATGATTCATACCGAAGATGGAAAGAAGAAGACTATACGCAGGGTTCGTCAAGCAAAATTGGCAGTCGTCGATTCTAAAAGCAAAAAGCAACTCCCCACCCGAGTTTTCAGCTCCACAAGAGGGGGTTGGCCATCCTGAGGGCCCCTCTGACAAGGCTGAGATATGCTGACCCACACCACACAAGCGACGGTGCAAGCCAATGATAGATATCAGCTGGCTGTTCTGCTGGACGCTTATAGCATCATTTCCGGTGGTGGCGGCATCGGTTTTTTTAGGCGCAATCAGGAGAAGGCAGACGAGATAGCGTACTCCATATTGCTTGCGAGAGCCTCGCTGGTATGTATAAGGCTATCGCGTCCTACTCTGCGGTTTAGGACTCGCGATACTCTTGTCACTATCAGATATCGCTTCGCATTGTTCAGTACCCTATGACGAAGCCCGAACCAAAAGCTCTGCCGTCTTCAGCGGAACGCGATACAACGCCACAGCCACCGAGAAGGAACGGCTCGACTACCAAAACGCCGCAGAAAAAGAGCACAGCTACCCCCAAGCTCTCCTTCGCATTCTTCGCCGTCTGTCTCATCTGTTTGATTGGCCTGATACTTGTTGCCTACCGTTCAGACGGTCGCAGTGTCGGCACATGGATTCCTCGCCTACCGGCTGTACAGCCCTCGGTTCTCATATCTCTACTTGTAACGTTGTTTAACACGTTTGAGTTCTTCATCCTCGCTGATGGCCTGAACATTGCGTGGTGGCGCGCGTTCCATGACGGTGCCACGCTACAAACACTCCATTACCTCAAATGGAATGGCCTCAAAGAAACTTGGAGAGCCCTAAAAGTCGGCTTTGATACGCACAAATGTTGAACGAACGCCACAAGGGAATCTGCAAACGACCTCTGCAATACCCACTAGAGCCGGAGTGCTCTCTGAATCGGCGAATTGCGTCAGCAAAAACGACTGGTATATACACTCTAGGTAGAGATGAGGAAGATGGTAGCAAGGGTAGCGACAAGTCTAACAGAGGCACACGCCACAAACAAGACCATGATCGCTTACGTACATCGAGTACTCAGCACCTCAGAATAACTGTCATAGTAATATCAAGTAGTGTGGTATTGATATACTGTGGTAGCCAAGGCTGAAAGGTGGTGGCTACACGCATGACGGCTTGCATTAGTGGGCATGCACCCTCAGCTACCCATGTTGTATCTACAAAACCGACAAGTTCGCCTGACTAACGAACCATGTACCATTGTTAGTATCGATAGTCAGATTCGTCTGCACCGTCTTTCCTCCCTTCAAACTTCCACTCTCCACCATACCACCCGCAACAGGCCTCTGTAGCCTATTCTCACCGCTCTTGACCGTAAAGTTGGCAATGGGAATCTCCCAGCCGTTGCGCGTAACAACAGTCGGCAGGCCGAAGAAGTTAGCGGTCATCTCGTCGTGGGTGAAGTGTAGCTCAAAGTAGCCACGGTAGTAAAGGTCCTGCCACTGGAGCTCAGCGTTGGAGGACTGGATGATGGAAGAGTAGTTGTTGGCGGTTGCGAGCGTAATGTTCGCGCCGTAGGGGCAGGGGGATGTGACTGCTGAGCCGGCAAATTCGACACCGATGCTGCCGGCGCCGGTGCTGGAGTCGTAGTCCTTCTCGTCGAGCCAGATTAGGTCGCTGACCCAGGATGCGTGGCTGTCACCTGCGAGGAAGATGTTGTTGTTGATGTTGTTGCTGTACAAGTGGTTAAGCGTGCGGTTCTTGTTCGATTGGTAACCATCCCATGCATCGTAGTTCAGTGGGTTGTCTTCTCCGTAGGCAGCGGATTGGTTGACGCGCGAGAAGACGATTTGAGATCCGACGATACGCCATGTTGTGCCACGCTCGGAAGACTCGGAAAGACTGCGGTAGAACCAGTTCTCTTGACGGGAGCCCATCAGAGAGCGGCCGGCATCGTTGGAGATGTCGTGGACGTAGTCTGTGTTCCAGTAGAGATCGGTGATGGAGCGATCGTATTGACGGGTGTCGAGCATCATCAAGTCGACAAGCTTTCCGATGGAGAAAGAACGCCAGATCCTGAGGTTATCATCCATGTCGACTTGACGAATGGGCATCCACTCGAAGTAGGCGCGAACAGCGTTCATCTTGCGCTGGTCGACTGAGACACCACCGTCGCGGAGGAATGAGTCTTCAGTGTTATTGAGCTCAGACATGCCGTCACGGTAGGTGTTGTCAGCAACCTCGTGATCGTCCCAAACAGGAATCCATGGGAACTGCTCATGACTAGCAACGAGATCAAGGTCGGTACGGTAAGTCGCGAGCCTCTTTCGGTAGTCGTAAAGAGTAAAGATCTCACGATCTGGTTGAGGAATGCGGCCAAGCGAGTTGCCCCAGCCGTAATCTCCATTCTTGTATTCGTAGATGTAGTCACCGAGATGAACGACGTAATCAACAGAGTCCTAGTTCGACGATTAGCTCAGTAGAAGATATGACCAGTCTTCAGCACGCACCTTGCGAACGGTATTTCCGTAGGCGTTGAAGAAACCAAATGGGTAGTTTGCACAGCTGTACACAGCGATGCTGACATCGGTGATATCGTCGTCCGCATTTGGCGTGGTCTTTGTACGTCCGAGAGGACTCTTGTTCTCCGAACCGCACACGTTGAACTGGTAGTAGTAATTCGTGTACGGCTTCAAGTTCTTGGCCTCGACCTTGACGGTAAAATCTACATCAGAGCTCGTGAACACCTTACCGGAGTCGACGACTGTGGAGCAGTTCTTGTTGTCGTAGACCTTGTATTCTACGCATACCGGCGCCTTGGAAACTTGGACGTACTTCTCGTTGTCGTGGTCGAAAAGAGGTGCGTAGCCGGTGACAGTGACATTGGACTGCGAGTTGTCGCTTTGAGGAGCGACGCGGGTCCAGAGGATGACGCTATTGGGGTATGGGTCGCCTGAAGCGACACCATGGGTGAAGTTCAAGCTGGAGGCAGCATAGGTGCTTGCTGGATCGTTCCTCTTGACAACCTTGTGGATTGAGACACCCAGGGCAGGGTGGTGCTCCGAAGGCGAGCGGTAGTTGATGTTCTTCGACCAGCTAGCGCTGGCGATAGATGCCCATGGCAGCAACGCAAGGTATTGAAGCTTCATATTGACAAACGGCTGCTGGAGGACGCCGATCGAACTTGCCAGCCCAAAGCTACCGGCTCCCCGGGCCTTTTTGTAGCTTTCGAGAAGATTGAGCCATTTTTAAGCTTCAGGACTCTAGGCAAGCTACGCCTGGACTTTTCTGCATCTCTGCTGCGTCATGCCTGCAGGAACAGACGTTCACGGAATGCAACCCTTCAATCACAGCTCGTGGAGCCAGCATGCTGCCATGTCGGTAGCGTTGACACGGGATGGTGGGATTAACGGTAGCGGGGCGAACATCGCAAGTAGGAAAGTTGAAGATGCAACCTAGTAGTTAGTCGTCATCAGCAGAAATACAGCTGTTCTGATTTGCTACGTTCCCGGGCTATCGTTGAGATGCAGTACGGCGCGACGCACATGTCTGGGTGCTCTGCGGCTATTGGTCACTATGAGCCGAAGCGGGTAGCTTGCACTAGAGAAAGGAAGATTCAGCAATACTTCGCTGGGTCGACTTGGATGAATGAAGCAGGTGCATCAGTAGATCGGAATCGATAAAAATGGTGTCTACCGAGGTAGTGTCTCGATAAGTGATGGCTGGGACGCGGAACATTCAAGCGGTGTCGAAGGTCGGAGCAGAAAGCTCCGCGAGGTTTCCTTTCGGAGCAGGCAGTGAGCATGCTCCGAAACGATACCCGCGCCTTCCTCTATCATTCCTATGCCCGTGCAGATAAGACCAACACCAGCAAGAAGAGCATGCGTCTTTTGGCTGTCATTGTCAATTACTACACAAACAGTTTATAAACCCAATACCCCACATACACAACCACCCTAACAACCCCCCTCCCCCACCTCGGCACCTGCTCCTCCGCCTGCCAAAGCACCCACGACTCAATACTCGTCCGCGGCGCCCCAGGCGTAAACAACATCGCATTCTTCGCGCCCTCGGTACGCCGCTGCGCAGCATGCGCATGCCTAAACAACGCCTTCTCATACCCCTCTACATACCGTCCCAGCGCCTCCACCCCATTAACACCTAAGCCGGCAGAGCTAGATGAACTGTACGCAACAATCTGCTCCGTGAGAATCATGGCATCGTAAAACGCCGTGTTAACGCCAATACCCGCAAACGGCGTCATGACGTGCGCTGCGTCGCCTAGGAGCGTGATGCCGGGTCTGTGTGGCCAGGTGAAGCCTACGGGGAGTTGGTAGAGGTTTCTCCATACGAGTCCTGTTGTCGATTCTTCTACTGCGTCGAGGAGCTGAGGTGCCCAGTCGTGTAGCTCCTTTCTCAGTACTGCTTTCGCTGCTTCGACGTCGTTTTGAGCGTCGAAATCACATGTTTGCGTGAAATCTTCTGGGTGCTGGCCGTAGTAGGCGACGTAGATGGAGGAGTCGGAGAGTTGTTGTATGGACAGCGATTTTCCGTCGGAGTAGGCGAAGACGCTGCCTCTGTTGACGAAATTGTGGAGGTCTGGTGCGGCGGTTGAGGCGGAGGGTATGTACATTGTCCAGCCGCCTAGGCCGGCGTAGTATGGCTTCTCTGATGTTAAGAGGTTGCGTGTCTTGCTGAAAGCGCCGTCGCAACCTACGATCAAGTCGAAGCCGTCTAGCACCTCGCCGTTCGCGAAACGCAAACGTAGTCCTGAACTGCTTTCTTCGACGCGCGAGAGCTTGTAGCCCCAGCGAACGGTGTCATGAGGCAAGCTCTCCATGAGCATTTTTCTCAGATCTGCGCGATCGATTTCTGGTGCGTCTCCTGGGCTCAGCTTTCCGTTTGCTGTCTTGCGTCCACCTCTTCTCAACCATGTCGTGAGGTTTTTATCGGTGACAAGCAGACTCTCGCCGTCGTAGCGAGCATACTTTTGGAACTCGTCCCACAGGCCTGCTAGTTTTATTGCAGCGAGACCTGTGCTGGCGCGCAAGTCCAAGGTGCCGCCTTGCGAACGGTAATTGATAGAGGCTTCTGCTTCGAAGATGGTGGTGCTACAGTCACATTGAGTAAGTAACAGGCGTGCGAGCATGCAGCCGCCGGGGCCTGCGCCAATGATTGCGATTTTTGGAGCCATGTTTTTGTTACTCTTTGATGTAGTATTGCAGGACGAGGTTGACGATCAGCACTGGTTTGGTTCTTTCATCTCCACCTGTAGCTTGGCTGAGGAGCTTCTTAAGGCTTGTTGAAGCTTACCTGTCAGGCCTCCAGTGACGCTGTCGCATTGCGCACCGGATTAGGTTAGATGATGCCAACGGTGGCTGCCTCGTGTAACGTGGAGCAGGAACGTCGGTTCTCAGAAGCGAGACGAGGAAGAGCGGCCCGCGATACCATCCTCCAAGTCGAGCAAGAAGTGTAGATACCACAATAGAACGCAAGAAGACAGAGCAATGTTTTGATCATTGTATGTGCGATATGCAAGAGAAGTATGTGCAGAGTAAGACGTAAGTATGTACAAGAAGAGGTGCCTATGTGCATCTACACGGTTTCCAATAAGCCAAGAGCGGGAGGCATCTAGCTCATGCTCAAGCTGTACTCAGTAACAGTGAGCTTCGCCTTGCTACCGGAGAAAGGCTCAGTGCCAGCTCCAACGCTTGTCAAGATCTGGCTGCTGGGCATACCATGCTTGCCAGTAACCTCCTTGACAAACTCCATCAAATCGCCATTGAAGCTGTTAATCTGCTTCTCGGCAACAAAGCTGAAAACATTCATCTGGCCGTTCTTGCCGTTGTACAACTTCCAGCTGTTGCCAGCCAAGGTCACTGTAGCAATGGGGCTGCCAGTGGCGGAGATGGGACCAGCGCCGCCGAGGGCACCGACCCAGATCATGATTTCGTACTCAGGGTCACCGCCGGCTTTGGAGGAGGTGAAGAGGTCGTAGGAGACGTTTGCGATGAGGTCATCGCCGGCGTAGGACCATTTCCAGACTGAAGGGATGGATTTGATGGATGAGAGAGCCTTCTGGGTAATTTTTGTTACGACGTTGGCGTAGGACTTAACGTGTCCGGGGCTGGAGGAGATGTTAGTATGAGTTTTGGTGTCAGAGAGAGAGAAGGACATACCCGCCAGTCCAGGACCATGAAGTGTGCCACTTGAGGGTCCTGCCACTGAGACCATCAACGCCGGTGCATTGGGAACCGGATGTGGCGTCGGCTTGGCCCCAGAGGTTGTTGTAGACGGTGTAGTCACCGGTCACGGCGCTGTCCCATTGGCCGCAGTAGTCTGCACGCTTCTGGATGGTAGCGGTAGGTACGGCGAGGGCGAGAGATGCCGTGCTGGCGATGAGGAGTGCGCTGAACTTCATATTGATAGATGGTAGCAGTAGAAAGGAGTGTCGTAGTTTATTTGTTATCTGGATTGTGTGTTGTAGACTTGGGAAGATGTAGATCGGCTTTAAGTACAACGTCAGACATCGTACGAGCTAAGAAATAGAAAGAGGAGAACGTGCTCACGGAGTATCTGTGTTCGTAGTCGACCCCGTCGTTTCGAAGGAATGAACATGTCAAGCAAGCTATGCCCAAACGAGACGCTACTCCTCTCAAGGGTGTCCCATGGTCAGGCCGTAGACTTGTCGATCATCCGAGAAAGGTGGGAGGGCCATTTGGCACATTGGTGGATTTGCCTGGTAGTTTAGTCTTGATGGAGCTGACGGAAGAACCTCAGAAGCTGATCAGCAGCTAGTTGTCGAAAGACGATGTTCTTCGTGATGTGCATCGATTTTGCAATGCGTCGGGAATGCTCCGCGCGCGTGGACCCCTGTCCGTCAAGTCAAGCTTCCCCACAAGTCATTCCGTGCGCCTGAAACATTTCGCCGATGCTTGATGAGGGCAATATAACGTCGGTGGGACTAAGGAATAGGGCTACGGTAATTTTCCGACGTTATGCGGGTCTAGACATGACCTCAGCTTCATGTCTTCTAATCATTTCGGACGAACGATTCTTCGACTACGAGCGATGTGAGAAATTCCAGGTCGGCTTCATTCCCGGTATCGCAGAAGGACTTCATCGTCGGCTGGAATTGTAAGCGACGAATGAACGGGTCTGGCTCGAAAGCGACTCACGGTGCCCATATCGCCCTTCCTGTCGACCTTCCAAGTATCACCCGATTGACGAATCTCGTGCTGAATGTAGAAGGGCTCCGGTTCTGATGTTTTCCAGAAGCCGGTTAGCTTCCTAGTGACTTGCCTCACTGTCTCTCCTACTGCAGGTGTAACGGGTGCATCCAACCAAGGCTGAACATTCTCCCACTTTTTGTCTGGCAAGTCCCACCTACCACCGTCGGATGCCTGCATGAGAACATCCACATGGAGTTCCTCGACGTGAGGAAAGTACTGGAGGATCCGGCTGATGGCAACTGAGGCAGCATTGGGCTTCGCTGCCTCACCAGGGTTGACGCGAGCATTCCCGCGTTTATCGATGAACACCTGCGGACCACCATTCCACCAGTCGTACCCAGGCCAGATAGTCAGCCTAAGCTTCTTAGTCCTGCCGATGATTGGAAGTAGTGCGAGGAAACGAGGCGACATCTCTTCGCGCGTGGGGACGTAGTAACCGTGAGCCCCGCGTATCTGGCGCTGGACCTCCACCGTAATACGCAGGGCGTCATCATCGCAGGCACGCTCTGCTTCTTCGGCGAATTCGGTTCCGAGCCTTTCAGCCACGACATTACTCAAGGGCTGCTCCTCCGAGTCTGGCGTTGTTGGAGTGACCTTTGACAGCAGAAGACGGTGTTCTAAACACTCTTCTCGTAGCTGCCGACACGTTGCTAGGATGTTTGGAGGGGGGCGGGAAGGGAGATAGATGCGTGTATCGATATAGGTATCCATGGGTATTTGACGCGATCTGTACAAATGCTGGGTGTCCTTGATCGAAGTCGATGTATATACGTACTGCGGCAGGATCAGGTAGCCAAGAATCTCGTCGCGCAACTCGCGCGGCAGGGCGAGAAGTGGTGAAGCATCATTGAAAGATGACATGGTTTCAATGGATAGCGAATTGGCGCTGGAACTTGGTAGTTGAGGACGTGAGGGCT